TTAGTAATGTTTTTAATTAATGTTTTATGTATTTATATATATTTATGTTTTTCATGTTGTGAATTGCCCAGAGTCCCCCCATTGGGGGGAGATGGGCGGTTGAAAAATTTAATAAATAAATAAATAAGTAAGTAAGTATTTAGATAGATTGCTTGTACACTGTTCCCCCTAGTAGCCACTGATCTTTTCTGCATTTAAGTCTATCATTGTCACTGTCATGGCCCTACTTGTACTCACCAGGCACCACCATTTATTGACTGTCAGCCATTACAAGGTAGACCAGATCAAGAAACTGACTCCACAGGAACATTAGAGCTGTACTATATTGAGATAAGCTATAGGAAAAGCATCTTTCCTGTGTTTTCCTTTCCCTTCCCTTCCTCTTATACCCCAGGGAGTCAGTCTGGTATTTTCCCACCTCCCTAGGCTTAATGCATGCTTCTTCTCCACCTGTTGTTGTCCTAACAGATTCTAGATGCCTTCTCCAAGTCATCTCTGTGGTTCCCTCCATTAACATACGTAAGTTAATGATCCTCACTACATATTATAGCAGTCTATTCCATCATATATTGTGGAAACTGAAATCAGAAAAAGCAACCGATGGGTGCACAAGAGTGTTTTGCGTTGACTTCATAAGGACAATGTTGGGAACATTACTCTGGCCATTTGCACCTGCTAGACAGCATTATAGCTTTGGCACAGATTGTTTTGCAGAACTTGTCTGAGCAGATGGATTTTGAAAATGCAGTAACCATACCTTTAAACCTCACAGTAATTCCTAGCTCACTTTAGGATTTCATGAAAGGCTGAATTCTGTTTATTAAAATGCACTTGATCTGGTTTTTGGCTGATTTAAATGTGGGTGTTGCTAGGGCAGGTACAGCTTGAGGTAAAGAACTGAAAATTTATCCTGGGCATTGGAAATTATTGGTATAACAATCCCACCAAGGCAGCGTTATTGTAACAAACCAAAGCAGCCTCAGCGTAGCAAAGGTGACATTACTCTCTCAGTAGAAATGCTGAGTTACCCTAGTTTTATTATATGGATTTTTTGAAAAGCAGTGCTATTGCAATCATATCATTTCGTCGTTTTTTTTTTCAAAGTACCAGTATAAAACCACTTACTTTATATAGCTCGTTGCATAATTCAGGGACAATATTGCTATTTTTTTTTCCTGAATCTCAGAGTGGGCCTCTAGGTAAGTCATAAATAAAATGTATGTATAGGCTCAGAAACATTATTTTCTCACAATCAGAATGTTGATTTTTCTCCGTATTTATTTTTGTATTCATATCCTGCTTTCTTTCTGCAAGTTCAAAAAAAAAATAGAGTTGTGAGTTACAACTTGCCAATTAGTCTACACTTGTCTTAACAGTCAGGAGCCCCATTTTTGTTGGAAGTTGAGGAAATTGGAGAAATAGTCCATTTCACATGCATTTTCTCTCCCACAATTTGGACTTTTGGGAAGGAATAATGTGTAAAGCACCTCAGAAAGTCCACCTCACCTGCAACTGGATGTTCTGGGACAGCAACAAACTCTTCAAGAGCCTAGAAGAAACCCTTTATATTAAGAGAGTTGTAACTGAGCAAATAACCATTGCAAATCACTCATTACTCACTCAGTGATAGGATTAGTTATTCATCTTTACTATTGCTTTCTGGAATATCAGCAAATGAGAGGTTGTAGTTAATCACATCCAGACTGATTAGTCAATGGGAGAGAAATGGAGGACAATACACTGTTGAAACCTGAGCAAGTGTATAGAGAGAAGACATTGGGACCTATGTTAGAAAAACTGGGAAGTGTATTGGTATAACCTTAATTGTGACCAGTTCCTTTTGTCTTTCAGAGCCAGACTATTCAAACCTTGGTGCTCTACATTTCTCCCCTATTATTTCATTTGTATTCAGGTCAGCCAAACACTCCCCCAAGAGTTGTTAATGCCATTAAGTGGATTGCAGCAACAATTGGACACAGGTTCTCATTTTCAGTACCACCAGAGACATTTTATGATCAAGAAGATGGAAATTCAACTCAACTAACCCTTGGAATAAACCCAATTGATGGTTCACCAACAGATCTGGAAAGCTGGTTACAGTTTAATGCCAGTGATAAAACTATGTATGGTTATCCACTTGATACTGATTTTCAATATTCCCCTCAGGAATTTTTACTCTTTGCCATTGATTCAGGAGGACTGAAGACTGAAGATAAATTCATCATAGAAACATTCAGGCCAACTACTATCCCATGCCACATTTATACAGTAATAACAAAAAATAGCTACCACTCATTCCTGAAAAACAGAGGAAGAATTAACATCTTTTTAAAGAAACTTTCCAAATACTTGTTTGCAGACAGTCCTGGGGATATGATTCTACTTCATCTCAAAACTGGGTCCACTGTGTTCATGTGGTACAGTAAGTTGTTTTGCACAATGACTGACAAATGTGCAAGAGATGAAATCCAGGATGTGCTAACTAAACTAGGAAGACCCATGGAAAATGTTAATCCAGATTTTGCTGAAGCAATGTTGCCAGAATTCAAAATTGAACTAATTGAGGAAGTTATATATGCTGGGATTTGCTCACCTATGAGAAAGCCAACAAATGATTCTCTAGCAATCAACAGGACTGTAACTACATTTAAATATGGCAACTGTTTGATAACAAATACATTCTCTGCCTTGTTAATTGGTATATGTTCTACAACTCTAGCATTTCTGATAGTTGTTCATTATCAGAAGTGTCACAAGAAAACATTTCAACCACAATGTGCATCTGTTCATGGAAGACCTTCCTGTGGCTACATCGATTTGGAGATGGATATGCTGAGTTCTTGCAAATCTCCTATACTTGAACAAGACGTTCCACCATCAACTTTGTTGCCATTACCTGTGCCAGTGGTTTCTCAACCGCATTCCTGCAAAACAAATAGAGGTCTTGTTATCTCAAGACTTCCAGCACCTCCAAAATACAGCCTTCCACCATTGTATGGAAGAACTGATACGGATTCAGTATGACCCTAGTCACTTATTCCAGAACTAGATTATTTCAAGTCTATAATTCAGTTCTTCTTTCCAGCACTGTTGACTGATTTTTCTTCTAAAGTTGCCCTTATATTAATAATTATAAATTTGGATACATTATTATTCAAAATGTCATAATAGAAAATCATGCGGCTAACCAAGAACCTAGCAGTAAGGTTTTCTACCTATTTTACATGAGGCTACGTATTTACCACCTACGTTGTCTATGAAAACTCTTAAAACCAGCAAGTTTAAAAAATATATATAATTATTTGCACCTGTTTTTCTGGAACAATAAAATATAATAACTAACTGTATTATAAATACGTTAAACAATAATACGTAACTGAGTTTTTGCTCCAAAAGTTCTCTATATAATGGCAGAATATCCATTTTAACCTAGTAAAGAAGAAAAATGAATTATTATAACCTCACGCTGTATCACATGCTAGTTCCCCATGGCTCCTTCTAGTGGTGTCTGCGGGGTAAGACGGAGTCAGAGAAGTCAAGACGGCAATCACAAACATGGGAACACTACCTTAGCTTTTTTCAAAACACCTGCCGCCGATGCTACTGGACATCTATCCCATTCTAATCCAATAACCTAAGAATATAGAACTTGAGTTAAATGTGAAGAAGTATGTCGATTTGAGCAATATAGAACTTGGGTTAAATGTGAAGAAGTATGTTGATTTGAGCAAACAGCTTTGTAATTGCTTAATAATTTAGAGGTGATTTTTCACTCATCCAATAATCAAAAATATACTTTTACTATGCAGTTCACAATGGGGCATTGAAACTATTTTGTCTTTTTTTCTACGTAAGAGTTTTTATGTTATCAAACTTTGTGGCTAAACCTCTAGCACAAGTCCTCTAGGGACCAGTATTAGATTTAGGTACCTCTATTTGAGACCATTCAGACCAAATTTCTAAGGAAAGCATTTCAAGTGGCATGGGGTAGTCTGAATGTGGTAATTCACTTTGAGGTAGACTTCCTCTGTACAATACATAAATAGGAAGCCAATTTTTAAAAAAATAGATTTCAATTTTTCCACTTATAGGCTAATGAAATATTCTGAGATCTGAAATGGTAATTAAAGTATAAGAACAGAATATATAAAGCGCCTCTAACCAACTACACTGTTTTTCCCTGGCTGGCTCTTCCACTTACCAGTACTTAACATCATTTCTTCCCCCTCTGTTGCCATCATCTAGTCTCACTTCTTATCAAAGCACTCCTAATACTGGATCCAGACATTACACAGGTATATTCCTAAATAAATGTTGAGCATAGACTAATTTCATTAATCTGGAAAATCAAATGAAGGACACTACTGTATTTTGCTCAGCGTGTTTTACATTAAAAATGTTCCTGAAACTATTGCATTAAAACTTCCCTCTGATCCCAACAAACATGGATAGAATTTTAGGCATCTTTAAATAATCTCTTCCAAATGTAGGACTGTATCTATCTGAGAGAATGGTATGGAATACACACATATACTTGTGTGTGTGTGTGCGCGCACACATGCATGAGTGATATGGAATCTTATCATTGGGCAGATTAGAATGAATTCTTCCATTTTGGCATTTTGGAGTGAGTACCAGCCAACAGAATCAAACCAGCTGCCAAATTCAGAAAGAGGATTAGTCTGATCCCAAATCCAGGAACAAGCCAGAGTAGTAATTTTTCACTGGATAAAGTGTTTTAAACAATTAGCAAAGCGTAATGAACACAACATGGGGTTGGTTTTCTTAAAAAAAGGATATGACTTATAAGAAAACACAGCCATTTTAACACTGTCATGTTCAGATATCTCTTCCTCTCTCAAAACTGAAGTGCTGGCCAGTAAAATTTAGAATGTATATAATTTGATCTGTTTATTTTCTAAAATCACAAATAAGTACATTTGAAGCTTTTCCAGCATTGCAATAGAATAGCACCAATATTTTGGGTGATGATACCTGACTGCTTTCCTTTCTGCAACTTCTGTGTTGACATTCAGCAAAGATTATATCTCACAAAGAGTTAACTCCCTTTTTTGTAGCTAGAAAGCAGGGCTTAAGACTTCTTCCTGTTTTGTGGAGAACCCCTCCTTTCAGTTGCACTTGCTGACTTCAGCCAAGTGTAGTTCAACTTCTCTTTTACTGAATATTTCACTGGGAAAACAAGACTTGCCACTGGCAAGAAAAATTCATCAGAAATGGAAGGGCAGCATATACTAACACACACAGTAAAACAGTGTTTTGATCTTTGGTCAGATTCATTCTCAACATTTCCCCCCTCAATAGGATGAGACCATTGTTCCATCTTTTGGTCACCAACAAAGTAGTTCACACTAAGTCCAGTTACTGTTCTTGGTCACCAAAGATGGAGCCAACAGGAATATCTTCCTGCAGCATTCGCAACTTGTGTCTGGGTTGAGTTACAGCATCCTTTGTAGGCAAAGGTACAGAGGCAATGTTATCTATTTTATACTATTTAATAAAGGGAGATCACTACCATACACATGTTTATTAGTGGGGCCCCTACTGTTAGAGCTAGTGTTTGACATTTCCTCTAAATAAATCATCAGCCCTTTACTCTTCTGAAGTAGGACTTAGATTTAGGACTTAGTAGAAATTAGAACTGAACTTGAGCACAAAGCATAGTCTTTTCATAATAATATGTATAGATCTCCTATACATATTATTTGGAATAACACATATAGTCTCCTATTACATATAGTCCCCAATTCCCAAGTCGTCCTAGCTGAGATTAGAGCTACCCAATGGATTGTTCTCCAAGTGAGGATGTTAATGGAGACCTGTCTAATGGACGGACCCTGAGAAACAGTGATAGGTCCATGAAGAGAAATGGTGACTCACCAGAGATGTGAGTAGGCTCTCACTTGTGACACGCAAGAACATTGGTGGCTCATCCACAGAATGGAGCCTAAGGCAGCTGCCAATCTATGTAATGCACTAGCTGTTAGTCCCCTCTGCAGTCACACCTTTAGGAATCCCAATAATTGTGGAATCCCTGCTATGGATGTCACGAGTTTCTGTTCTCCTTTTTCATACATGGTATGCACGTAACTCTACTTGGGGCCTGCTTTGCTTAAGATTTTAGGATGGATGGGGCTCCCACATTCTGTGGGGGTAAAGACTGGATAGAGATCTGTCACACCTCCAGGCCCTGAGCCACAAAATTAAGCCTAGCTGACTGGCTGAGGTCTGCCTTGCTCCTCTGATGTACTACCAAATCCAGCATCCTTCAGTTCTCCTGGTGCCATTCTGCTGATGGAGGGAGATCCAGCTCTTTAGTCCTAGTCAAAGTCCCCCACCTGGACTGTGTTTAGCCTGGTCACCAGAGGGCCACTACAGTTAGTCCATCCTAGAATTCTTTCCTGGTCACCCCTAGTAGTGCTATTGAGTACCTTATTTACCAAGGCATGGTCAAGGCTTCTAGACAGCCTCTTGATCTGCCTTATTTACTGGGTTTATATCCAGCATTTTTTGCACATGAGCTCAATGCAGCATGCAGAGTGTTCCCTCTTATTTTTCTTAACAACCCTGTGAAATAGGTTGGGCTGAGAGACAAACTAGCCCAAAGTCACCCAATGAGCTCCTGTGACTGTCTACTAGATCCTGAGTCTCCCAGATCCTAGTCCAACATCTTACCCATTACACTACACTCATATTGTGGGTAGACTCAATGCTGGTGTGGCCACTCACTTCCTCCACTTTACTAAGGTACCCAAGAGGCATATCCTCTGTGATTTCTGGCTATCAGCTGGCTTCTACTCTGTACCTTTCTCCATCTTCTTAGTGATCAGCCACCATCTGGCCTCTCACTACTGCCTATTTTCAGTGCAACAAACAGCCAACGTGTGATTACCAGGAATCCTTTCACAATCATGCAGTGTCTCTCCAATTGCAATGTTCCCTTTTTCCTTTTGTTCTTGATCTTCAAAGATATCGCTGAGAGGAAAGTCAGTGCTTCTTTCTATTAGGAAGAACTAAAAACTGAAGCGGAGAATTTCCTCTATGGAACAGGAAGAAATCTTAAGTCCTGCCTCCTAACTAGAAGAGGTAGAGTTAACTCTCTCCCAGCAGCTCCATCTTCAGTGACCAAGAATGGCTTGCATGCCTTACTGTAACACAAGAACTAGCCAGCTCAGATACAGTTTGAGTTTCTTGTAAGTGGTTTTCTATGGAATTGCGGTCCACAGTGATACCAGTCAATCAAGAAGGATAATCTTAAGACAACTGGTATTGTTTAGTGTCAACAACTGGTACAAACAGTACAGAATGTATGCAGCTATTTAACATCCGTCTTCCAGAAAGAAAGCACTGAACCAAGACACCCATGTTTTTATTTTCTAAGAATGCCTATGGAGTCTGTGTAAGATCCAGAGGCATTGCTGGAAATTCAGATAATGCTTGAGTTTCAGTGGCATCCTATCTTCTCATTATTTTTTCTTAAATCTAAAGGATTTATTCAATACAATAAGAAAGAAAATGAGTTTGGTGGTTGCAGTCTTGGTGGGAATATATTTTTTTTCCACATGGATAACCACACTGCATTGAAAATATCCTATTTGCATTCTCAAGCAGTATTTCTCAACCTTGGCAACTTTAAGATGTGTGGCCAACATGCTGGCTGGGGAATTCTGGGAGTTGAAGTCCACACATCTTAAAGTTGCTGAGGTTGAGAAACACTGCTCTGGCAGTTAGTAATAAAAGGCAGTTAAGATCTTATCATTTATCAAGATCACTTCCAGCAAGTTTTATCATAGAGCTTTGATTTAAATCCAGGGTTCCAAGACCCAACAGTGGATTGTGTTACTATAATGAAATTTCACTAAAAGCATGGACCCTCAAGTATAGCAACAATTTAAACCAAACCAAAAAAAACTCAAGTAGGAAGCATTGTGCTTTTTCTTAAAAAAACAGCAAAGTCATTTTTATTTAGACATAAAGACCTGAATATTAATTGAAATTTTGTTTTATCTTAGAGCCAAATGGGATTTGGAGCAAAT